GGAAAGGACCTGGTGTGCTTCCAACCCGCCTCAGTCTTGTCACATCTGACCAGCAACTGGGCCAAGAGGGACAAGAAGTCTCTTATGTTTGGTCAGTCTCCCACTGCACCTGCCACAGCCCTGTCTGCAGACGTGGGTGTGAGCGTGCGGCAGGGTCTCCCTTCGCATGGCCTGAGTTGTGCTATCAGGACACGGGCAGCCTCATGCCCTTGAAAGAGCTGAAGTTCAGGACTGAGCCAGGAGTCGAGACCAGGGCTGCAAGCCTGACGCTGGGTCTGCAGCGAGCGGGGGGGAGCAGCCTGTTCTCCATGGTCCCAGGTGGGCTCGCCCAGGGGCCTTGTGTTAACTCCTAGAAGAGATTTGGGGGCCTGTTCTCATGCAAAATGAGTCCTTCAGTGGAGTGAATATATAAGACAATTTATCATAACTTCCAATTATGACTGTTGCTAGCAATAAAGTAATGCAAAGCATATAAAATCATAGACAATGAGGGTGGAAGGGATATCAGGAGGTCACATCTGGTCCAACCCCCTGCCCCAAGCAGGACCAGCCCCAACTGCATCATCCCAGACAAGGCTCGATTTTTGTGACCTGTGCAGATGGGAACTATTGTCGAACCATTCTATAAAGTCCATGAGGACCCGCAGCAGAAGAGCCAGAGGAACCTGTCTCAGAGCACCGAGCCCCTTCTTATTCCCTCCCTCAAACAAAGGCTGACATCCTTACGTGATAGAAACTTCAACAAATCCAGTGCTGAGGAGATGCCGTCATGTCATTCTGTTAGTCACGATGGCATACGCTGACCAGGGTAGATGTCCTAAGACTGGTTAGTCTTCCAAGAGGTCTCTCTCACCTGCGACTCAGTTTCTTTTGCTTCCCTTAGCCTCACTGATGCTAACTTAAAGGCAACATAGATAAAAGCCTACTAGGATGCAAGTGTACCCACGTGCTTGTTCAGGGGGTGGCTGCAATGCCCCGTGGGGGTTGCTCAGTCCTAGCTTGGCCCACACTTCTGGGGAGCGCTCCCCTTTGCTCACCCCACATGCCTTGATGCTTTAGCCCTTTCAAGGAAGCCTGGTCTCACTCACTGGCTCACGGGCTAATTCTATGTCTCGGGGTTCCTGTATGTGTTTGTTGGGACACGGCCTTCCCAGCCTCAGCCCCTTCTTTCTGTTGGTTCATTCCCATTGCACCGGACCTGGCTTCTGGGGCCCAGCCTTGTCCTGGCCCGCTTTGGGCTTTGTTTCTGGGCTCTCTGGTCTCCGAACATTGCCCTGCTCTGGGCTCCGGGCCCTGCAGCCCCGCATGCTGCCCTGCTGCGGGCTCTGCTTGTTCACTCTGCCTTGAGCCTGCCCCCAGCGGGAGCCCAGGCAATCCTGTGCCCCGAGGGCAGTAATGATCCCTCCAAAAAGCCACCCTTCCCAGTCCCTTCCATAATCCTTCTTTCTGGTCACCTGCTTCTGATTTGGCAGTCTCAGCGAGGCCCCTTGCTGCCAGGACCTGTGGGGTTTCTATGCAAGCCTCTGTCCTCTGGTGTTGCTGTCGCTGCTGGTTCCATGGTAAGTGTTTGCATCGAGTATTTTCCACCCTAAAGTCTGCACCTGAGGCTTGTCTGGCTGGCAGGCCCCCGGGTTTGCTCTCCCTTCTCAGTAATGGGGCATAGACCCTGTTACAGCAAGCTAAAAGGATTCTAGATCAACACAAAGGTCGAGACCTGCTGCCCGCCTTGGGCAGTTGGGAGGCCCAGGTGTGGACAGGCAGCCTGGGTGGGGGCTACCTGTGATGGTTCCTGACAGTGGGTGGTGAGACGGGGTGTTTGTACATACCACATTTTTTGCCCTTTCTTGTACTGCAACAGTGTGAATGTTTGCATGAGTGGGTTTTCCAGATGCTTTAAAAGTATTTTTGGTGCATTAAACTGAAACTCCTTGGATGTAGTTTAGTTTGGCTCACTGCAAATTAAAGTGTCACGTCCATGGATTTGTTGCGTGCAAACACAAAGGCACTCAAAGATGGGTAATGAGCCTCTTTGTCCACCAGAAGGCACTGAGATTTTTTTGTAGTTCACCCCTTTTGAATTGCTGCCACTTTTGAATTGCTTCCGCTTTTTTTTTTCTTGTGCTGTGTGCTGGCTCCCTGCTCCCACAGCTGCATGGCAGGGCATGGGGGTGGGGCTCCAGGCTGGGAAGGCAGCATGGGACCGTCCCAGTCTCCTGCAGCAGTGGCTGGGAACCAGGCTTAATTTGTTTGACAACCTAGCATGTGCAAACACTGATGCAGCACTCCAAAATAAACAAGTTTAAATTGAATAGGTTTATAACATTTAATGAGGATTAAACCCCGTGATGTGTACAGGCACCCATGTAGTCCTTTGGGCACTTGTACACATGACGGGAGTTTAGACCTTCTTAAATTGAAGCGGTGGGTTTTATTTTATCTGTTATTGTGTACATGTCATTGGTCTGAAATTTCATGAATTGTTTAGTGTGCTATTCACAGTCAATCACTGCAGGGAGTGCTGCATATCAACCCACCCCGCTGATCTCCTTGCACTAAATTACAGCAGAGAGCACCTATCACTCACAGCTTCCTGAACTGTACAGATAATTGAAAGAGGTGCATTTTGATTAATTTAAATAATATGTCATTTAATTATTTTACACATATATTTACATGTATGTTTTAATTTTGAATTTAACCAATTTTTTTAAAAAACCCTCTTTTTTATCCTTTTCATTCCTATCTTTATTTATTATTTTTATTTTTATTCTTATCTTACTTCCCCCCACCATTTCTATGTCAGCAAGTAAACTTTATTTCATGTGTAAATCCACTTTTCTTTTTTATTTCACCCAAACAACCACCCCTACGAACAGAGTGCCGAAATTCTCCCATCACTGATAATCTGCGCACAAATCTGCACCCCATGAATTTCTTCTGTATATCTTCACACACCTATTGGAGTGCTGTGGTGCACTAATTGGAACTCTGATAATGCGCTCCCTGCATTATCTCACAGGGGGGCAATCCTGGAAAATGCCTGGAAGCCCTCCTTCTGCACCCACATTTCTGCCCCTGTCCATGCGTGCATCAGTGGCAGCCTGCCTTGGTAGCCTGCATGTCCTCGGCGGCACCGTTGCAAATGGAGCTGACTATCAAGAAATGCAGGAAATTGTAGCCAACAAAGCGTCCTTAGTTCACTCTAAGGACCAACTCACAGGATCATAATACATTCTAATTTAGTGTACAGGATGTGACGTTATCAATAAAAATTGTTGCCCTGTGGGGTCAGGCCAGCACTCAGGATCTCAACATCGTGCTGTTAGACAGGAGGGCGTGGTGTACAATTGCACATGACACACACAAAAATCAATTAGGTGCACACACACACTCTAGGTGCATACACCCCCACCAGGTGCGCGCGCACACACACTACCAACTCAGGCACATACACATCCAAAATTACCAGCCTAGGCATATGCACACCTATCACTAATTCAAGCACCTACACACTATACACACCAAAAGTTAGACAAAAATCAGTTGTCAATACCCGCACACCTAATACACATACATGGATCACTAATTCGTACATCACACACACAATGACATATAAACATATATGTATATTCACTAGTTCACACGCATACCACCCACCTACATGTACACACAGGTGAGTTCCTAACTTGGATGGTACGGTGTGTGTATGTGGGGTACCTATGCTTGGGGTAAGGTTAAGGTGAGAGAGTGAAAGTGTAAGGAGTGCACGTTGCTGGGAATGAAAATTGCTGGCACTGGGATTAGAACTGGTAGACTGGAGAGAAGCTGGCTAAGGAACTGAGGCTTGGGGTGCTTGGTAACTAAAGAGCAAGTGGCAGAGATCAGGGGAAAAGGCAGTGGGGACAAAGCAATAACAGTGGCAGAGATCCAGGGAAAAAGGCAGTGGGGAGGAGGCAACAGCAAAGACCCAGGGGTTTGCAGGCAGAGAGGAGCTGGGGACGGCTGGAGCCACAGGAGCGTGGGGCAGGTGTTGGAGGTGGCGGTGAGCCAGAAGCAGGAGAGGGAGAAATGAGACAGAAGTGAGAGGGGCGAGGAGCAGAGACTGGAGCAGGGCCGGACCGTAGTAAAGCAAAACCCAACTCAGGGTTCCCAATACCAGTGTTATTAAATGAACACTGTACTGTACAGCTTGGCTCCCACACACACACTCACACAAGCACTCCCACAGACACTCACATGATGGCAGCAGGAGAAAGAGACTCAGTGGAAGGGTTGGAGTCCAGGTAGGGAAGAGAAACAGAGTCCAAGTCCTGGTTGGAGAGAGGATGGGAGTGATAGCTACCTATCCAGGCTGGGAGGCGGTCCTCAATGGCCAGTCGGGGTCTTTCTCCAGCAGGTGTTGTCCAGAGAGGGTCGCCGGCAGGGCCTCTGTGTGACATGGAGCAGGTCTGGTGCAGATGAAGACGGCAAGGAGACCCAAGGAGTCAGTCTTCACTACCCCTCTCTATGGGGCAGACTACCTCTGATCTCCTATGGGGAGGGCCTGTCCAGGCAGTGTCAGCCCTGTTCCAGAGGTTTCCAGATGTTCATACTGTGCACGTGCAGCCTTGGCACAGTGCTGGGTTGCCTCATCTTTTGTTTCTTGAATGTGGAGGGTGTTTCCAATGGCTGGGTCGCTGGTCTAGGTATTGGTTTTGATGGTGGGGTGATTTAGGAGGGGGTCCTGCTGTCATTGTGTTTCACTCATCCATTCACTCCTTTGTTTCAGGCATTCAAGGAAACCAATTTACATGGGAGAGGTTACAGAATTGCAACATACTTGCACAACAGGGCACAGGGACAAGATGGGAACAAGATGGGAATGGATACTTGACATCACTTTACAGACAGGTCGAAACCATACAATATTAATATGAAACAATAAACATCAATGCACAAATGATAGGAATACAATATAATACAATATAAAACAGTAAAAATCAATACAAATATAACAGGACACTATTTACAATATATAAAAAAGTAGCTTATTACAATAATAGTATACAAGAACTTAGCTTAGCTTACCTAGTGCTACTTGCAATCACTGATAAGGGATGGAGAGGGCAGAAAGAAAGTCAGAAATGGTTGGGGAAGGGGAGGGAATGTATTTTTACACAGCCCCGCTGGTTTCCTGCCCTGCGAAGGACCAGAGCATTATTCGTTCAGTCCCAACTTGGCTCAGGTCCCATTTTCCCCTGAAAACATTCAGCACAGCTCTGGTGTCCAGGAGCGCACTGGTGTGCCAAGGGTTCCCCACCATAATGGGTACTTGGGGTCTCCCTCCTGGGTCCCAATTGAGGGTGCCGAATTTTTCCCATGAGCCTGGGCTCTGCTCGTGGGTCCCGTTACGGGGGCCCCGTCAGCACTCTTCAGAGATGGGAGTCGAGGCTGCTACCCTGTTAGGGTGGGGGGATGCTGCTGCCCACCCTTTACTCAGCTCTGTCACTCTGTCAATTAAATCAGCTAGGGGCCACTTGTCCCACCTCTCCTGGGCTCCCCGTGCTGCTTCAGGAACGTCCGCACTGCCACCCAAATCCCACTCTCCCTTTCCCTTGCAGGCCAGGGGATGCACGGGTGTGGGCTGGGGCGGTGATTTGGTCCCTCAACCCTCCAGTCAGATTTAGAGTATGCACTTTCATTGGAATATGTGACCATGCAATTCAGTGTATCATTGGGTTTTTCCTTGAACTGGGTGGCTGCAATGGCCCCCCCGCCCCTTGCTGTTCAATCAGTCTCTCTGCATCTTGAGCCCGGGGTAGGACTTCTCCCAGCGTGTAGCTCTGGGTCTCTCAGAGCGGCCCCATTAGTCCGATTACAGGCGGGTGCATGCCCTCCTGTACTTCCTTCCAAAAGCCAGGAGGGTAATCTATATTCCTGATGTCAGGTGTCCGATTGCCCACCCTGTCCAGGGGCAGCACTGACCCTGAAAGCAGTCCCAATGTCCATATAGTCCCAAACAGGTTCCCCAGGTGTCCGGTGGCTCTCCCCAAACTGTCCCTTGAACGTCTTCCTCCCTAGATTGATCCCCAAGTCTGCTATGCTTTGGGAAATAGTGCCTCCCCGAAAACTATCCTCGTGGCTCACGGCTGCCTAGATCTCCAGGGTGGCACAGGCCCTTAACAAGTGGTGCCATTCCCGGACACTCAGGGTTTCACATCTACTACTATTTAAGGATTTCTGCAACCACTGCCCCAAATTCCTGATGTTAGCAGGCCCCAGGGTCTTGCCCACGGTGGTGAGATGCACTCCACTAAGGGGAACCGTCACGTATGTGGTTTCCCTGTGCATCCCGGGTGACTGAGGTTCAAGCGATTGCACTCACCTCAGGCACCAGATCGCTCTCCTTCTCGGACTTGGGGCCCTCAGGTGAGGGATCCATCATGTCCTCTGCGTCTCCCTATACCTCCCACCCCAAATCTCTCCCAGGTTGAAGGGGATGTCTGGGTCCCAGGCTTGATCTCCCCAGATGACACTGCTACTTGCAGGCTGCGCTCCTGGAGTTTGTGCTTTAAGCGATTAATGGTGTTCTGACAGGGGCCGTGGTTTGCTTTGGCTCCCCGTTCGCTTTATCTTTAGCAATTTTTGTAAGGCTTCTCAGCTAGCCTTTTCCTGGCCCAAGGATTCCAGTTGTTGGGCGTTATCTTGATTTACTTTCCTCAATTTTTCCTTTTCATTTTCCAAATTCCAAGACAGTCCTTTCAGGGTCTGATTGCTTGTCTCCAACTGAGCACATTTGTTCTTCTGCGGCTCCCTGAGCTTTTTCCTCAGTTGCTATTCTCACAGTAGCCAAACCAGGGCACTGTGTTGCCTTTGAGCTGAGGGTTTTTCACAAAGGCAAACTTTTTCAAATTGGACCTTGATGTCCCCTATGGAAAAACCTGGGGCGCATACATCCTCCCTCCATGGACTAGGACCACCCTTCAAAATCTCCTTACGGAGAGGAGAAATTTCCTCCCTCTGCACCCACTTGACTTCATGGTCCCCTGCTCCAACCTTCCTGAATAAGGACATTTTCCTAAACATGCTCTGAGCCTGTTGGTTCCCGATCCCTCAGCTGCCCGACGGACTATGCCCCTGGCCCGCAGGAGTTCTCTAACCAAATCCCACTCCCCCGTGGAGGTGGGCTCTATAGGGTGAGGGACTTAACAGGTAGAGAGGAGGAGGGGCAGCCGTGTGAAAATACACTCAGCAACTGGAACATCTGCAACCCTCTTTCTCTCTCAGGATGCTGAAGTGAGTAAAGTACTTGAAACCTATCTAGAGATCTAGCTTGCCATAACGTAGAAGTATATCAACCAGCTATTAAGCTGACAGTGTTTGCTCTAAGGTTATTCTGTGATACTTCTCTAACCTGTACCCTTCCCCAAGCCTAGCCTCTGTAACCAATGAAGCGTTCTGCTATAACAAGGTTTGTGGTACATGCATGAGAGGGTTTGGGCATGGCTTTTTATTCCCTTAGCTTGGCTGACGAAGAGAGGCTACTTTTTGTGCGACAGGCTGAAGGAAGCACCCCAAGTTCTTGCAGTGGGTCAAGCAGGTCCGGGTCTAAAAGGCCTGTGTGTCCCAGGGGGCGCAGGGCCTGAGGTCAGACCAGAGCCCCTGGGTGGTGGCAGCAGTTACCCCAGGCTTGCGGGTGTGCTCCAGGAAGGGGGTCGGCCAGACGTTGACACCCCTGGGGAGGCACATGGGGCTTGGTTGGGGGTCGGGCGCAGGGAGGTGGGTGGCTCAGTGCAGGAGCGCCCCCTACTGGCCCGCCACAGAACTCACCCGACTTGGCAGCAGAGTCAGGCTTCTTTGCGCCGGGCTTGGCACAGCAGCCATGGGGGAAGCACCGTCCCTGCACCCCAAAACAATCCCTGTCCATGCATTGCACAACAGCAGGCTACACAGTGACTCACGTGTCATAACACTGCTCCCGGGGGCCCCTGGCCAAGAGACCGCCTGCCCGCCTGGGAGCCCATCTGTCCCCTTCTAGCATGGGGCAGGCACAAGCCTTGGGTCAGGCTGGTGCCTCAAGCCTCAGTCACCAGGATGGACCAGGAAAAGCATCTGCCTCCTGGAACTGCAGGTTGGCTTGTGGGGGACGGAGAGGGGGAGAACTGCACACCAAAAACAAATGTTATGATACCTGCAGGCTTGTGTCCACCATCCTGAGACTGGGCACCCGCTTACTGCTTGTAATGGCAAAGAAAACCACACTTGGCAGCCCACATGAAGCGGGCAATCGGTAATTAACTCTAGCTGCACCTCAGCCTGGCACTGGCCCAGGAGCCCGTTCATCTCCTCCTCCTCGATTCGACTCTGCACAACGTTGGTGTTGGTCGCTGCTGTGCCGATCAGGCTGTGTGCTGTGGAGATGGCAAGCCCCATGAGGGAGACAGCCAGCCATGTCCTGAAGGCCACGGAGGCAAGGCCAAGCCCGACAGTGGCGATTATGCTCCCAAGCCTCGATGACCCGCTGGCAACGTCTGCTATCGTGGCTCCTCTGCAAACCTCGTCCGCAGTGTTGGCAATTCCCCGAAGCTCTGCTACGTGCTGCTTCAGCCTGTCCCGGGCCGGCAGCAGCCTCTCCCTCAGTACTTTATCAATGTACCTCCCTAGGAATTTGCTATAGGAGAAGAGAGAAAAGGCGGAAATTATTTCATAGGTCCAAAATGTTGGCTCCTGTACGATCCCATAATTCTCCTGTGACCCCACCGTGCGCCCAGCGCCTTGCACAGGAGATGCGTCCTCGTTGCCCAAGGGTGTCCTTGGGTCGCCACCCCGAGCTCAGCTTAGGCGCACGGGCACGGCCAGGCTGGAGCGGAGCGGTGGTGGGACGATGGGCCCGGGCAGCCTGCCTCTTCTAGGGGCCGGGGACACATGCGGCAGGATGGGGAAAGTCCCCGAGGAGATAGTGGCCGCGTGCCCCACAGTGGGGTGGGGGGAGCTTCTGCCCCCTCCCAGGCCGTGAGCCCTGCCCTGTCCTGAACCCACAGGGGGGTTTCCCCACAATACTGTGTCCATCTCCTGTAGCCGAGCGTGTGGACACGCCCGTCCTCCTCACGCCCAGGGGAAAACGACGCTGGGCTGGGGCCAGGGCTGGGGTCCACGTCACTGGCTCACGGGAGGGACGTGCCTGGAGGCTGATGCCATTGAGACCAGTGTTTGAACCGTGTCAGGCCAAGAGGAGATGGTGGGGAAGGGGCGGCCGTGGGCCAGGGCTGCTGGCTCATGTTTTAGCTGGGCACGTCCCACCTTTGACAGGTCCCCGACATGGAAAGAAGTGGGCACGTTCTTCAGTGGGACGGGGGCCTGCAGGTGCTGGGTCTCGCACGGAAACCTCTGCTCGAGTGGATCCACTGGGGCGGACGTTACTCACCTCCAGTTGTTCGGACACATGAGGAAGTCATCGGGCACGGCGCTTTCGCAGACGGAGCTCCTCGCCGGCTCCCCGCAGCAGGAGTATCTGCCCCGCGCGTAGTCTCCCCGGTGCCGCAGGGTCACTTCAAACTCGTACTGGATGTTCTTGGCATTTACCATCGCATTCGCCAGAGGAACACATTTTGGACTATTTGCATCTCTCGAGTTGTATTTCATCATCAGTCCCCTGCAGGTAACATAGATGCTGAGTACCTCATCGGTGATGTCACATGTGCCCAAGAAGTGCGAGGCCTCATGGATTAAAATCCCTGGCTGAGAATCTATGTCAAGGTGACTCGGAGCCTCCCAGAAGAGTGGGCACAAATCAATGGTTTTGTCTCCAGATTTTGGATAAACACATGCATAAACCTCCTTCCTGAAAGGATTTTCCATGAATTTGGCTTCCTCCGGCACCAAGATGAGGTCTCTCACCCGCTGCTGCGTCAGGACTGCAAACCGTTTCATCCACAACTTGGGATCCTCAGAGTCGCAGGAAATCAGGTCCCGGGGCGTCTTCATCAGCACGCGGTCCTTCTTCTTCAGCGCATCGCTCAGGATCTCCAGCGCGCTCTGCCTTGCTGCTGCGGCGATTCTCTCCTTGTCTTTGTTCAGCGGGACGCAGCTTTTGCCATCAGTTTTAGAAATGTAGCATTTGCTTTGGTTTTCTTCCTTGCTGCACACAATGTTTTCCTGGGAGCTCATCTCTGCGTGGACGCCGTCTGCACGCCTCAGTCCCAAACAGCTTTCCAGCGCAGCCCTGCAGAAGCACATGCAGTGTTTGACTTGCATTGCTGCCCCTTCCCTGCTGGAGCTCCCCGCGCCCTCCCCCAGCTGCGGGGCGGCACCGTTTTGGGGAGATCAAGATGCCTCAGGGTCTATGACAGGGGGCAAGCTCAGGGCTGCTCACCTGTCTATGGGGCAGTCTGCCCAGTGTCACCTGCCATGACTTTGCTGTTCCCATAACTGGTGGTAAATGCAGAAGACTACCCATTACATGCCCCGATGCCAGAGGGTGCTATCCACAGCTCCCAACCTCCCCTACACTGAAGCCCGTGCCTCGCAGATGGCACCCAGGATGACATTATGCTCCCAGTCTAAAGCCAGGCCAACTTAGTCCTTTGTCATTCAGACATGCACTCAGATCGCCCTCCTCTCACTAGGGCCTCTCGCACTCCACCCCCTCTCACAGGGTCTTTTTCTTGCATTGATAACTTGTTCCACTTGCTCCTTCTTGGGACGGCTCCTGTAGGCCACGGGGCTTTATGCGGATCACGCCTCAGGTGGTGACATGCAGTCTGTTGGGTCTCTCGCATGACCCTCCGGTTCACCCCACGGAGGGCTAACTCCGCCCTAGCCCCTCACCGGGCTTCTCATATCCAACAACTTGTTCCTCAAGGGGTTGGCACATGTTTTGCCCTTCAGGCTGTCCCCCGGCCCTACTCAGCCCTCATCAGGACCCTCACTACCGCCCCCTCTCTGGGGCTACACATCTATCCCCTCCCTGGGGCCTCTGGGGTCTCATTCCCCTGTGAGGGCTCAGGTGGCAGCAGCCATGCCCGGCCCCCTTAGACCCACAGTGCTGTGGGGGCTAGGGGTTATTGAGGCGCCCTGACCCGCCTTTCACCGGGGAAGTGAGTGGTTCTGGTGTGCAGGTGGGGCTGCCGCACCGCCAGCAGTCCCACCACGCCTCCCTACCTCGGCAGAGTGCAGTTTTACGCCATGGCCTGGACCAGGAGCCTCCCAGCCATCCCCCTAGATCCTTCCCTTACCTCCAGGATGTTGTGAGCCTCAGACCCGCCGGCTGATGTCTACCTCATGGCAGCCAGCAGCAAACTACTGCTTCACCCGATATATCTCCTGGGACTGAAAATCGCCACTGCAATCAAGCACTGCCTGCTCCAGCCCGTAAAGGGGCTAGCACCCAAAGGTGCGATGCCACAAGGTCTCATCATTACGGGTCCCCTCGGCAGGCTGGACTGCTGGGGCAGGAGGTTGCGAGGGCACCTGGGAGAGCAGGGCAGGGAGATGGTGTCCTTTGGGCTATGGTGCCTCTTGCCAGCCCCTTGGATATGGGTGCTGCTGGGGGAGGTCGCGGCAGGGGCTAAGCTGGCTGTGACGAGCCAGCCTGGTCTCCTTGGGGTGGCCTGTGGAGGATGCCCAGGGGCCACGTGCTCTGCCCTCCTCCCCGCTGGGGGTGCTGGGACGTGGCTGCCTTTCCTGCGCTGGGTCTCAGCCTCCTGCCCATCTCTTACATCTCCCTTTAGCATTCCCTCTTACTGGCAAAGACCCGGCGCAGTCATCACAAGTTTGGGCCCTGGGACTGATTCGGGAGCTGCGTGGGAGGGCGGGCTGGTGCGAGCTAGGAAAGCAGGGGCTGCATTTACATCTCAAAGCAGGACCCGAGAGGGGCAGAGACTGGAGCACCAGGAGGGGCCAGAGGTGCTGGTTGTAGCCGTGTTGGTCCAAGGACACAGGCAGACAAGGCTCTCTGGGTAAATCTGGTATCTTTTATTAGAGCAACTAAAATAGTTGGAAAAATTCTTCTTTGCAAACTTTTAGGTACAAACTTTCAAACTTCGTCAGGCTGAGGAAGTATCTGCAGTATATCCCCTGCCTGAAGAAGGGTGTTTGTACCAGAAAGTTTGCAAAGAAGAATTTTTCCAACTATGTGAGTTGGTCTAATAAAAGGTATTGGATTTAGCCAAAAAGCCTTGTTTGAGAAGAGCTAGAGACACTGAATGCACAAGAGTCGTAAGGGGTGTGCGAGGCGTGACAGACATGAAAAGCGTGCTATGACCAAGGCAGCCAAGGAGGTGAAACGGGTGTAAATTCTCTTACGACAGCCCTGGCATGGATGAGGCCTGTGGGGTCACCTCCTTGCCACCCAGGAAGACCTGCAGACCCCCAGACAGACTTTATTTCTGGACTTTAGGAAGGCCTTCGACACTGTCTCCCACGCCATTCTCATTAAAAAACTAGGTGGCTGTGGCCTTGATGCCTACACAGTCAGATGGGTCGTCAATTGGCTAGGAGGCCGCACCCAGAGACTGGTGGTGGACGGGTCCTATTCGACCTGGCGGGATGTGGGCAGTGGGGTCCCCCAGGGCTCGGTCCTCGGGCCCGCACTGTTCAACATCTTCATCAGCAACTTGGATGAGGGGGTGAAAAGCACCCTGTTCAAGTTCGCAGATGACACTAAGATGTGGGGGGATGTGGGCATGCTAGAAGGGAGGACTAGGCTGCAATCGGACCTGGACAGGTTACAGGGGTGGGCGGATGAGAACAGGATGGGGTTCAACACTGACAAGTGCAAGGTGCTGCACCTGGGGAGGAAGAGCCAGCAGCAGACCTACAGGCTGGGGAACTCCCTTCTCGTCAGTGCGGAGGCAGAAAAGGATCTTGGAGTCATTATTGATGCCAAAATGAACATGGGCCGACAGTGTGGGGACGCGGTCAGGAAGGCCAACCGCACCTTGTCGTCCATGCACAGATGCATCTCGAGCAGGGCCAAGGAGGTGATCCTCCCCCTCTACGCGGCACTGGTCAGGCCACAGCTGGAGTACTGCGTCCAGTTCTGGGCGCCGCACGTCAGGAGGGATGTGGACAGCATGGAGAGGGGCCAGAGGAGGCCACTCGCATGATCAGGGGCAGCAGGGCAGGCCCTACGAGGAGAGGCGATGGGACCTGAACCTGTTCAGCCTCCACAAGAGAAGGCTGAGGGGGGTCTAGTGGCCGTTTACAAACTAGTCAGAGGGGACCAGCAGGCATTGGGGGAGTCCCTGTTCCCCTGAGCACTACCGGGAGGGACTAGAAATACCGGTCACAAGCTGGCAGAGGGTAGATTCAGACTAGATATCAGGATTTGCTACGTCAGTCAGGGTGGCTAGGATCTGGAACCAACTTCCAAGAGACGTGGTGCTGGCTCCTACCCTGGGGGTCTTCAAGAGGAGGCTGGATGAACACCTCGCCGGGGCCGTTTGACCCCAGAACTCTTTCCTGCCACGGCAGGGGGTCGGACTGGATGATCTGCAAGGTCCCTTCCGACCCGACCAACTATGAACTATGAATGACGTCTGGTGCCACCCGCACAGACTCATATTCATCACCGTTGTGTCCCTGGGACACACGTCCATGCAGAACAAGGGGTGCCGTGGTGGGCTGGCAGATCGAGGACGAGGTCTTCCTCAGCGCGCTTGTGGAGCTGGAGGTGCTCCGCATGGAAGAGGAGCAGGTGTTTCTGCTCCGTGCCTCGGCCTTCGTCTTACCCTGATGCTGGGGGTGAAGGCTCCTATGTATCTAGGCAGCCGAACTTGCTATGCACCGGGGCTTGACGGGACAGAGGTGCCAGCTTGTCCCGACAGGTGCTGTGACGGGTCACCTGAGGATCTCAGCACAAGACGCTGACTGCGCACTGGCCTCATAACACCACCTTCTGCAGCCACAGACAAGGGCCTATTCCCACCCCATGTATCGAAGCCCCCGTCTTCTCCTCTCCAGACTAACCCTTGTTCTTTCAGGCCCGTCCCCGTGTGCCCGGAGGAGCGGTGCCCAGGACGGGACACGCGCTCCAGGGGAGGCCGGGCGCATGCCGAGTACAGCCCGGGGCGTTGCTGGATTATATTGTGTAGCAGGAGAGGAGCGCAGTGCTGGCCCCGTGCAGGCCCTGTCCCAGCATCGCCCCCAGCGCCTTCCCAGCGGTGCAGCCCAGCCCGGCACCCCCAGTCCGTATCAGCGTACGTGCTTGTTCCCCGCAAGCGCGGGACTTTGCACTCGTCCTGAGTACTTACGTAGGCGTTGCATGTGGCAGCCCTGCCCAAAAGGCCCGGGTGCCTTCCAGTGACAATGAATCCACCCGCAAATAAACCTCACAGGAGCAGAATAACTGAAGTGATGAACGTGCTCCTGCAGCAAACCCCCCCAGGCAACGCGCGGCGATGCCCTGGGCTCGCCCTGCCGGCGCCTCGCACGGGCCCCGTGCCTGGGCTCCTCTCCCCGCCCTCGGGCACTCGCTGTGTGGGGGCAGCTCCTGGCACAGGCGCCCCCACGGCCGGCCCAGACCCACACCCAGCCCGACTCACCCAAGGCCGGTTCTCACTCCTCGGTCTTGCTTTGGGAAACGCGGTGGGTGCAGCCCTGTGCTCTGGTCCGGGACCCGGTGTCAGGGGCCACGGGGTGATGGATAAGTGCACGGGGTGCTGCGCGGAGGCCGGGTTTCCGTGGTCTGGGCCCGGACTGGCATGGAGATGGTCTCTCTGCCTACGTGGCTCCTTCTGTGCTGGACTCTGGACCCCTCCCTGCCCTGTGCCCGAGCGGTCCTGCAGCTTTCATTTTGATTCCTGGAAGAGCAATAAAGTCTTGAGCCCAGCCAGGTGTGGGGGGCAAAGGGCCGTCAGGTGTGGGGAGCGCCCAGGATAGTCATAGCTGCAGGTGCTGGGGGGCAGGGGCTCACTTGGGGGGGAGACCATGTCCAGCTGCCCTTGTCCTTGGCAGGTAATCAGTGCCCAGGTAGGTGCTGGTAGGTGCTAATCAGTGCCTGGGGCTGGGGCCAGGTCCGGCCATGGTATGTCTGCTCACGGGAGCCAGACACAGCCACGCGCTCGGGCAGGACCAGCAGATCACAAGCTCCACAGCCACAAGTAGGGCCCCGTGCGCCTGCACCAGGCCATGCTCTGGACACAGCCATGGCCATGGGCCCAGCCAGGTGTGTGCACCACCCCAGGGGGAGCCGGTGCTGGGCTGGGTGGGTGCCGCCTTTGGGTGCCCCTGCCTGGCGCTGCTCGTGGGGGCCCAGCACCTTGGAGACCCTGGGGCGGGGGGCAGGACCTGCCTGGGAGCCTCCCCATGCAAGGGCCAGGCCACAGCAGGGCTGTGCTCTGGGGGCAGGGGCGGGGGCGATGCCGGGGGCTCTGTCAGGGTTGAAGATCGTCTCGTGTAGAGTTTACATGATGGTTTGTCTGGGCGGGTTTGCACGGAGCTGATCCTGCCTCAAGGCTGGCACCAGATGCAACCTCCAGAGCTCCCTGCCAGCCCCACGGCTCGGGGATTCAATGACTCGATGGCTCCGTATCATCTCCCCGATTCCTGCTAAACCCTTCACTGCACAGGTGTAAACGACCCTCCCTCTTGCCATCCCACTAATCGACCATCCCTTCCTCCTGCATCTGCTGTCTCTTAGGAGCTGGGCTCCCAGGAGGAGCTATCTCACCGCCCCGAAGACGGGTTTTAACTCTAGCTAAAACCACAAATGCAACCCAGGGCCATGGGGGCTGAGCACCGAGGGCCTCTGTGATTCCCTCTGTGATATGGGTGCAATTCCCACCCACAGAGCAGGGAAGGACCTGTCCCTCCGGCCCTGCACGGGGGGCTCTGCAAGCACAGACCCACTCGAGGGAGCGAGAGTCAGGGCCGGCCCATAGCTTCCCTGAATGGACTCTGGGCGGCCAGTGCCAGCACGGGGCAGGAGCCCAGCCAGGGCCCGGGGTTAATATCAGGTGTCAGCCGCTGTCCCGGGGCCTCCTCGGGCGTCAGGAGGAGCAGGGGGCAGCTAAGCACCGGCACCGATTGCCCGAGAGGTGCTGGAAGCGCTTCGGGCAGAGTAGGGGTACGCCTGCCTGGGCCGGTCCGGGGTGCCACGGGGCAGGGAGCTGGGACGGGGGAGCCATGCAACTGGTTTCATAGATTCATAGATGTTAGGGTCGGAAGGGACCTCAGTAGATCATCGAGTCCGACCCCCTGCATAG